CACATCTCCACAGTACCTCCCCCTCAAGAATCGCCTCCAGGAGATTTAGCACGTTTATCTGGGTGGTCCCTGTAGAACGACGTGATGAGATCCGGGTCAAGGATGAAAGACCTCGGGATCCAGGAACGTTCCTCAGGACCGTATCCTTCCCAGTCCACCAGGAATTGAAGGCCACGACCTCTTCTGCGGACGTCCAGGATGCGGCGGACTGTAAACACAGGTTGGTTGTCTAACAGACGAGGCGGAGGAGGAGGTCGGACTGAAGGATTGAGGGGGCTCTCGATGAAGGGTTTAATTTGTGAAACATGAAAAGTGGGATGAATATGCATGGTCTTGGGAAGTAAAAGTCTAACAGCAGAGGGATTGATTATGYSWGCAATAGGRAAAGGTCCAATAAAACGAGGGGCCAATTTCTTTGAAAAGTTCTTAAGAGTGATGTCACGAGTGGAGAGCCATACCTTCTGACCGATGGTGTACTGAGGGGCAGGAGTCCTGTGTCGATCTGCCAACCTCTTGTTCTGTTCCTGGGATCTAGCCAGAGCCTCCCTGGTCTGTCTCCAGATTCTTCTGCAGCATCGGAGATGATGTTGAACCGATGGAACAGCAACTTCAGTTTCCTGACTAGAAAAAAGCGGAGGCAGATAGCCAACAGAAGCCTCAAAGGGAGACAGACCGGTAGCTGAGGAGGTGTGGGAGTTATGGGCATATTCGATCCAGCATAACTGAGAAGACCAGGAGGACGGGTTAAAGTTAATGACACAACGTATGGCGGATTCAAGTTCTTGGTTACTTCTTTCTGATTGACCATTAGACTGAGGATGRTAGCCTGAAGTTAAACTCACCGAAGCACCCAAAGCTTGACAAAATGCTTTCCAAACTTGGGATATGAATTGGGGACCTCTATCTGAAACTATGTCACAAAGAATGCCATGTAGCCGGAAAACATGATGAATCATAAGTTGAGCTGTCTCAAAAGCTGAGGGAAGTTTCTTCAGGGGAACAAAATGTACGGCTTTGGAAAATCTGTCCACAACGGTGAGGATGGTGGTATTACCTTCAGAGGGGGGTAATCCCGTGACAAAGTCTAGGGAAATATGCGACCATGGACGTCCGGGAATCGATAGAGGTTGAAGAAGGCCTGCAGGGGTTTGGTGAAGACTTGTTCTGAGCACAGATGGAACATGCAGACACAAATTCCTTGATATCTTTGTAAGAGTTAGGCCACCAAAAATGTCTCTTGGTAAATGAAATCGTTCTATTCACCCTAGGATGACAAGCAAATCTTGCAGTATGAATCCAGGTCAATACCTTACTGACAACGGCTCGAGGAACAAACAGACGATTTGGAGGTCCATTACCAGGGTCCGGTTCATCTTGTTGAGCCCGTAAGATCTCCTCTTCAATCCCCCAGGTCATGGCTCCAATAGTGCAGGACGCAGGAAGGATGGTTTCACTGGTCTTAGGTAGATCTGAAGATGAAAACTGTCGAGACAAGGCATCAGGTTTGACATTCTTTGAACCGGGTCGATAAGTTATAGAAAAATGGAATCTGGCAAAAAACAGTGACCATCTGGCCTGGCGTGAATTTAATCTCTTGGCTTGTTGAAGGTAGGCAAGGTTCTTATGAT